TCAAGTCTTCTCCAACGAATCTTTACAAAAGGTTTATCCTTCTCAGTTCTCTCACAGTATCCCTAACAAGCCTCAACTCTTAAGGTTAGTCTTGCTCTTCTTTATTTCCTGGAAAACTGAATATATCTTTTAGAGGGTTCCGATCATCCTTGCCATGGCCATTGATTTAGACCTTCTCTGCTTGAAACACGAAATCCCTAGTAATGTACTTATTAGGGTATGCCCCAAGAACGTGAATATTAAGATCGGTGTAGGTCTTCTTCCCCATGAAATCCTGTTTTCTTTCCTCCATCTGAACGTTATCAGATTTCCTTTGCACCCTTTCTTCTGTTATGTCTTTAATAGACTAAACATTTCCCCTCTTTAAGTAAACCCCAACTTTCTTAGGGTTTTGTCCATTCTTTTGATTCTGAACCGTGACAGGGGCTTAGATCTTGATATTTTAGATCTCCTCCTTTGTTACAGGGTCAGTAAAATTAGGTTAACTGACATGTTCTACCATTTATTTCCTATTGAGAAGCGATCCATATGTACGGATAAGCTAAACTTCGAGAAAGGGTGGAAGAAAAACATAATTGGGTTAGATGGGCTTGGTTCGCTCCAGCTATTAGGGATTATCCCATCCCGAGCACCTTTGGGGAATGCTCTATTTCCTTATACAAAAAACATAAAACCCACAAGAGTGAATGTCCTTGTGAAATTTGTCTTCCTCGCTTCTATACTTTTCTTTTCGATTCTCTAGGTATTCCTCATAATGAATTGAGTTACAACATTTGTAGGGATAGAGTCAATCACTTGAAGGAGAAAGTTTTAAGCAACGTTCCTTCTTGCTCGGAACTCCTTACATCCGAGAATCTTAGCGACATATCACTTTTGGGTGCTCTTATGGATCCAATCCAGATCCCCTCTTTCAGCAGAAGAAGGAATCCTCCTAGGAATGCCATTGCTTCCGCTTCGGCTTCCGCCTCTGCATCAGCATCTGCTCCTGCTACCACTTCCAGTGTTATTCCGAGCGCTGTACTTGTCATCAATCCGAGCGCCAATACTTCCCATGTTGCTCCGGTCAATGCTCCTGGAGCTAGTAACCCTCCTCTTGCCCGTGTGTCTACTTCGGATAAGAGTCAAGGGAAGAGACCTCGACCGGATGGTGGGTCTGACCTTGATGAAGTTCCTCTGTCAAGAAGGGTTCAGCCTTTCAGGGTGACTACACCTATCACATCACAGGGTGGGCCTACCACTACCGCTGGAACAGAAGGAGCTTCCACCTCGCCCTCTAAAGCAGTTCCATGGACTCCTCAATTCGTCCGAGCGGATGGATCAGTTGTCAATTCCAATGACACCATGTTCAAAGATGGAACCGACCGCCCTAGCCTACTATAAGCATCTATGGTCTCCTAAGGATGTTGAGATGCAAAAGGAGCTGACCCAGAAGGAAATGTTCAACCGTTTTCCTATGGCTGCTATAGAGGTAATTTTCCATCCTTCTTTCGGTTAGATCAAAAAGTTTGTATACTCTAACTTCTTTGGATATATGCTCGGCATAATTAGTATTCGTGCATTTGTTTGCAGACTCTGTTCGGAATGATGGCCATGCAAAAGCATGTTGAGTCATCCAATGCAAGGGTGTGCAGGCTCGCTTCTGGACTTGATGTGGCTAACAAAGAAAACAAGCTAATCAACACCAAAAACGCTGAAATAATGGTGCAGTTGAATAATGTTGAAAACGAAAGGGATGCTTTAAAGAAAGAGATAGACTCCCTCCATGATGAGAAAGATGCTCTACAAACGGAGAAAAATGTCATGCAGACTGAAAGGGACACTCTGAGAACTGATAGAGAAAATCTTCAGCGTTCATTGGACGACGAACGGGCGAACTGATTGGTTCTTGAGAAGAGAGCTTCAGATGAACGTGCAACCTTGCTAGGCATCGTGAGCAGGGTTGATGGCGGTATGAAGGCTCTTCATAATCGCTTCTCCTAGATTGGGGCCTTCAGATATGCCGAAGGATATAGAAACGGTTATATAGACCGTTCTCCTCCTGAAGGTCAAATGAGCTCCTACGTTGGTCCAGACGATGTTAATGCCTTCTTGAAGATCGATCCTCTGAGCATCTATGTTGATCCAACCTCTGACCCTGCCGAACGTATCTTTAAGGAATGCAAAGAAATTGCGTCTTCTGGGGTCATTCATGCCCTTCAACTGATCAGCCTCTGAACATTTCTCCTCTATCCACCATAGTTCCTCCTGCTATTGTTGCTGATGGTGGAGTTCAACCAATTGAGGAAATCATCCAGCTTGACTCTCCTTCCAGAGGAGATGGGGTAGTTAATGATGGTGGGGAGAATGTCGGCGCACCAGGGAGACTAAGGAAACAGATAGTGTTGACTAAGATCTTGTGGATGTGCTAGTTTTTGTTTTCATTTCATTAAGACATTTCATTTCTGGAACTCCAAACTTGCTTTGAACTGTTAAATGAAATGAGTATACATATATATATATATATATATGTTTTTGCCAATCCTATTGCTGTCAAATGCTTTAAATGTTGTTTCAACTTGTCATGTCAGATTGTTGTTTTCTTTTGGGCGTGTGTCTGGTGCTCGGCCAATGGTGCCATTTTGCCAATTAATTTTTGTGCAAGTTGTCACGTACGGATTTTCCCCGCCCTCTCTAAGGGTTATATTAAACACTTATGGGTCAGAAAATGGGTTTAATGCGACGAAGTGACTATGGTTAAATTATTATTTATTTGGAGCCGCCACCTAACATAGGATTTCGGTGTCTTAGGTCACCCTATGATGTCTAAGGACTAAAAAAATAATATTTAAGTATTATTTATTTGACATCCATTTTAGTCTACGAAAACCAAATTAATGGGTCCGAGGGTTTGATTGTGCATGGGGAAGGTGTTAGGCACCCCACGACACCCCCGAGGGTTTGATTGTGCATGGGGAAGGTGTTAGGCACCCCACGACACCCGTGAAACACGGTTACCTTATTTTTATATTGCATTCCAAAAAGTACATATGTAGTTTCAATATTTAGAGATATTTATTCAATCATGATTGGTAAACTTGGCTCTATCTATAGAAAGATAAAATCAATGCTTTCATAGTACTGTTTAAAAAGATCCAGACTTTATATCTAAACATATTAATTTTTGAAAGAAAATGATCTTCAGAAAAATGTGATTTAATAAAATATTATTTTAGGAATACGATTCTTGGAAAATATTATTTCCGAAAGAAAACTTATTTATTAGAAAATATGAAACTTTATTAATTAAGTCCTAATTTTAATTTTGGAATCAAATACTTATATAAAAAGATGAATCTAGGATTATTTTAGAAATAACAATAGCTTTTAAAAAATAACTTTATTTCAAGAAACTTTGTTTTAAGAAAGTTTTATTTTAAGAGAAAATATTATTGTCTAAAGAATATATGATTTTAGTATTATATTGAAAAAGATATGGTTTTAATATTATTTAATTTATAAAAGATACTACTTTTAGGAAAAATATTATTTTTGAAAAATATAGTAATCTTTGATTTCCAATAAAGTATTACTATGTTTATATATATATATATATATCAAAAATATATATTTTTTATTTGAAAAGATATGACCTATAAGCAAAATATTTTATTTGGAGTAGGAAAACTGGTATTTAGGAAAATTGTATTTTAGGAAACATGATATATGAAAATTTTAAGAAAGTTTTATTTTAAAGATAAAATATTATTGTCTGAAAAAGATATAATTTTAGTATTATTTAAAAAATATTATTTTAGAAAAAGATATGATTTTTAGGTTATTTTAGAAAAAGATACGACTTTAAGAAACCATTGATTTGAAGAAAATAATATTTTGTATGAAATATAGTAACATTTGATATATATATTTCAAAAATATTTTATTTGAAAGATATGACCTATACGAAAAATATTTTTATTTGGACTTTTTAGAAAATAATATTTATTTGAAAGATATTATTTTAGAAAAATATTGCCCTTGGACATGATTATCTTGAGTACGTGATTACTATTTTATTTTTTTTGCTTTGTAGTGAATATGACACTAAAGATCACTACCTAAACAAGGTAAGAAAACAAAGATATGATCTCACTGCTATTGTAAGATAAATGATTGCTCAGAAAATATACATTTATAAAATATTTCCTCTTTTTTTTTTAGAAAAATATTATTCTAGGAATGATATCTTTTTTTCAGTTTAATGGCCCATATAAATATAAAATTACCATATTAGATGATAATGGATGTTACGGGAAAGAATATGATGATGACCTATAAGAAATATTTTATTTGAACATTTTTAGAAAATGACATTTATTTGAAAAATATGATTTCCTTTAGAAAGGACTATTTTTGAAAATGTGCTCATATAAAATTTTATTTAAAAAATAATGATTTTATGGTAAATGATTATTTCATAAAACACTATATTTTATTTAGAAAATACTGTTATAAAGAACACTACTTTGAAGATAAATATGATTTTTGAGGCAAAAATAGTTATTTAGAAAATACGATTACAGAAAATTGTTTATTCATTTCCTAAACCGATCAAGAGTCCTTATTGGATTATGTCCATGAGTTGTAAAAAAAAACAATTGTCCATCAATAAGTTATCTACAATAGAGATTAAATTGGGTACCACTATATACATAGTGAAAGTGATAGAACCCCTGATGAAAGTTTTATATTTTTTGGCTTTTAAGAAGAAAAAAAAGGTTTCTTTGTCTTTTATATATATATATATTTACATTATTTTGAGGTGGAATGAAAGGAACGGCAATTAGCCCAATCTTGAATCTTAGAACACTATGACACCACTCATAGAACTAAACATATAACAAGAAGACTAAGGTTTAAAGCACTTACATGGATTATTCATGTCAACGATATGTTATGGAACGGGAAAAAAAAAAGTGACTGATCATATAAAGATAATGCACTGACTAGTTAAATTTACTTACCTGCGATTTGAGGCTTATTGAAGCTCACAAATTCCCGCTTGGTATTGAAGCTTTAATCCACTCCACGGTGCAATTGATGAGGTTGTTGACGACAGATCCCAGAGAAAGCTTTGCAATAAGAGCATAACTAACCAAAATCTATAATTGTTTTGGAGACTTTGTAGCAGGACTTTTGCACTCTTCGAAGGCCTTAGAGGCTGTTGGAGGATTATAAGAGTGGTTGAATAGGCTGGGCTAGGCTGTTGGAGGATTATAGGAGTGAAATAGGAGGCTTAGTATATTTTGTGTTGATGCTTGGTGTATCTATCAGTGTATAGGTAATTGGAGTGTCTATATTGGTGCGTGATGGATGAGTGGATATGCGTGATGGATGAGTGGATAGGTGGCCTTAAATCACAAAAATGATAACTATTTTATATATTTATATTTTATTTTTATTTTACCTTAAAATTTTGATGCAATCCGAACACAATGGATTGGTCTATTTTAACATTTGGAAATCATACTAGCCTATTAATATTTTTCAAGTTTTAATTAAACTTGAACGGGTTAAGGGGTGCAAAATTACGTTTTTGCCCCTTCCTTAATCAAGTATTACGAGTCACATTACAAATTTGACTCTAGGTGTACCTTAAGGTTTTGGGATGTTCCGGATCCAATGGTGACATTCATTTTATGATCTGGTGGTCAGATTTTCTAATTTTCCTAACTCGGCCAAACTAGTTTTACCGGAATACCCCTACAAATGGGTAGGGGCAAAATTGGGTACCTACACAAGTTTTGGCGTTTAGTTCGTAGTGCCATTTTGCCACTTACTTCGCTAAGTGCTTGGCGCCCGGCTAGAATGCCACTCGCCTCTTAATTTTTTATTTTGTGTAAGTTTTTGGCGTTCGGCTCACAGTGTCATTTGCTACTTACTTGGCTAAGTGCTTGGCGCTCAGCTAGAATGCCACTTCACTTTTTGTTTGTGCAAGTTTTTGGCATTCGGCTCATAGTGCTATTTGCCATTTACCTGGCTAAATGCTTGTTGCTCGGGTAGAATGCCACTTGCCACTTCACTTTTTGTTTATATTAGTTTTTGGCATTCGGCTCATAGTGCCATTTGCCATTTACTTGGTTAAGTGTTTGGTGCTCGTCTAGAATGCCACTTGCCACTCCACTTTTTGTTTGTGCAAGTTTTTGGCGTTTGGTTTATAGTGCTATTTACCACTTACTTGACTAAGTGCTTGACGCTCGGCTAGAATGCCACTTGCCACTTCACTTTTTGTATGTGCAAGTTTTTGGCGTTTGACTCATAGTTCCATTTGCCACTTACTTGGCTAAGTGCTTTTTGCTCAACCAGTTTTTAAAACAAAATGAACTTTCTTATAAATCTTGATGGACCGATACATTCATATAAGCACAATTCTAAATGAACATCATTCAGAATGGAATTTAATCTTGTAATCTTATTATACTGGTAATACCTTTTTAGAGACGTGACGTTCCATGGTTTATTAACCAATCTTCCAGCCATGGTCTCTAGATTGTATGCCCCCTTTCCTATGGCCTCTGCAACTTTGTATGGACCTTTCCAAGGTAACATCATCTTTTTGACGATTCCTACCTTCTTTTTCAGAACTAAGTCACCAAGTGCAAAATCTCTATACTTCACCTTTTTGTTGTAACTATTCATAAGTGTTTGTTGATAAGAAGAGAGTCTTATTACTGCTATATCTCTTTTTTCTTCCAGTAAATCAAGGTTAAATTTCAACATACTGTCATTTTGCTCTTAATCCCATGCCAAACTTTGAACAGTCGGAACTAAATGCTCAACCGATATTACTGCCTTAGTGCCATATGCTATAGCGAATGGGCTTTCACCGGTTGGTCGTCTAAGGGTTGTTCTATAATCCCACAAGACGTTTGAAAGCTCATCCAACCACTTACCCTTCTTGCCCTCAAACTTCTTCTTAATAGAAGTAAAGATTGTTCTGTTTGTGATTTCGGCTTGACCGTTCGCCTGCGGATGGCTAACCACTGCCAACTTTTGATTGATTCTGTAACGCCCTGAATTTTCTAAATAAATTCCTCGATTTATTCAAATCCAAATACATCAGTATTACACCCAGGATCTCAAAAGAAATATCACTTTATTGATACAAAATCAATTCCTCAAATAAATATACAAAATTCTCTAAATAAATAAATAATTCCTCAACGCCAACTCTTCTACTTAAGCCCGCTACTAGCAATCCAAGTTCATCATCGGTACCTGAAACTGTAGGGGGGTGCGTGTTGGGATTCATATGCCCTGACATAGCAAATTCCTGTTTGGATTAAAGTGACATATGTTCTTGACGTATCTAAAATATTTATACTTTATACAATTAGTGAATTCAATGTATTATGTTTCAATTTATTATGGAATTGATAGTATCCATTTGATTACAAGAGATATTTATATATATATGTGATGGCGATCAATACATGAATATAAATAGTAATCATAAATTGTTCATAGTCGGTAATTATGGATGGACTCATAATTAATTAAAACTTGAACTGGATCCGCGTTAGGTTGAGATATATTGCGAGAGCCGTCGTATGCAATTGCTCCCTATCACTGTCATGGCTTTTGACTCTTAAGCATGAGAAAAGTATAGACTCTTTTATTAATTAATAAATACTTTGATTTGTTCGGCAGATACTTCGGGATCCTTAGACTGACACTTTGGGTAGTTATGTAATTAATAGTTAGAGGGTTATATTTTCAATATTTACATTATTGCTACTTGTATTTATTTTGTATTGATTATGGTTGATCACAAAATAAATTCGAAGGCCTTCGTATGTTTTTAGACAAAGATTTATTTTATATTTATTTATCTAAATTATTATTTTTGTCAAACAAATATTTTGTTGTGATCGAGCTAGGAATAATCAAAGGTATCAAAATAAATATATTTAAGTAGTCAGATTGATGGCTTTATTTATCCGATAACTAATTATGTATAGAGGGGTTAAAGTGCAACATTGACTTAGAGGTTATTTATTATTTAATTGTAATTCAATTAATTTCTTTTAGTGGAGTAGAAATTAATTTATGAATTAATTGAATTGGGTCCATGGACCGGGCCAATTATTAATTCATTGTAGCCAATAAAATAATAAGCTCCAAGGATTCTCACTCATAGCCCAACTTGATATTGGAATCCTATTAGATTTGAGACATGTGAATTAGAAATTGAGAATGATTTATTATTTCCTTTTCTTTATCTTTATGTTGCCTATATATGTACATGGTCTATGTATATTTTAGGTGTGATGTTTAGTAGAAGGAAAAATGAATCTATTTTCTCTTTCTAGAAAATTAGGGTTTATGTTCTCATCTAATGGAGGCTCCCACAAGCCTAATTAATGGAGGCTCCCATAAGCCTAATTTTTCAAGGTCATTCATGGAGGCTTATGAGTGATTCCTAAAGGCAAAACAATTACCAAGAAGATGGAGATCCAAAGAGAAGGCATCTTACTAAGGGATCTACAATAAGTGAGAACATTCACTTTAGAGGAAAGATTTAAAGGTTTACTCAGACCTTTGATGTAAGTATTCAATCTATTAATTGAATGATACATCATATTTTATTTTTACATAAAACTTGTCTGTATGTGATGAATCAAGATCTATGAATCAAAAGCCCTCGAAAAGTTTTTAAAACTTGCACGTTTCCCAACAGTGAGATAGTAGGAAAAACCATAACAAGGATTTCAAAGAATTTCATGATAAATTTGCTTCACAAAAATATATATATGCTTTTAAACAAAATACATATATGCAATTTTAGCAAAATAACAATCAACAAAATATTTGAAATAAAATCATCCAAGTCATTCAAGGTATGATGATCCCTACACTATAAAATAATAATTCCTTAATAAATCATCACTGAATCGTCAAAGCCAACTCTCAGCCCTCTTTCTATCATCTCGGCTCTCACTCTAATTCTCTAATTTTCTTTCTTCTTTGTATCATCACTTATGCACACAATACTCATTTAAATAGGCCTCCACCCACGCAATGCAAACAAGCTCACATGCAAATATCAAATATCAAAGTAGTTATCCCAAGTGGACCCCGCCACCTTATCACTCCACTCTCGGCCACCACCTACTCCTTCTCACTATACTTATATCTTCATATTTCATTCCAGGCCTATCAAACCAAAAACCCACATGAATGAAAGGAAAAATCAAGGGAATTGGCCAACAAAATCAATTCGTGGGTCTCGCCCCCACTCACCTTTCTTTTCTTCTTTTTCATTTTTCTTTTTTTCTTATTTTTCTTCCTAATCTTCCTTTGTCGGCAACTCATTTCCATCCACCAAATGCCATCATCATTTACCCATTAGCATCATTTGATACAATATATATATATATATATATATATATCATATGTGCGTGCATGCAAGAAACTCAAGTCAAAACCCATCACTTTTGATTTCTATCATATGTGCGTGCATGCAAGAAACTCAAGTCAAAACCCATCACTTTTGCATGCAAGAAACTCAAGTCAAAACCCATCACTTTTGATTTCTATCATCAAATTATATATATATATATATATATATATATATATATATATATATATATATATATATATATATATATAACAAACAAATGTCAAAACCAAATTGAACCCCATTAATGCCTTAATAATGGGACTCGCAAACCACACTTCACAATTTCATTCTTTCCTTTCCTTTTCCACGGCTAACAGGTTTATCTCCTTCACCACTTTAATTTCATTTTCTTCCCTCTTTTTTCCTCAATTTCAGCTGCTTCTCACTTTTCCTTCATCAGACAAAATATATATACAAATGCATAAAAATCAAATTTAACCTCATAAAATAATTTTCCAAGTGGAACCCACTGATCACAATACCATTTTCTTTCCCTTTCAATTTCGCTGCTACTTACTGCCATGTAACAAATAAAAACTCAAATTAAATAAATTTAAATACCATAATCCAATCTCCAATTGGTAGGTCTCCAATTAAAACAAAATAATTAATTTTGTCAATCAAACATTATGAGATTATATATATATATAATTAAAAGTTTAAAAATTCGGGTTGTCACATTCTCCACCACTTAAAAAGAATTTCGTCCCAAAATTCAGGTCCAAAAATTTTTGCATACCTGAAAACATCAAAAGTGGTAAAACAAAATCCAAAAATCCTTACCCCAAGCGATGCGAGATATCGTGACATGAAAAATGTTGTGGTAGCTGACAGTGCTAATTACCCACCCACACATTCCGTAACCGTTGTGATAGTTAATCAATGACGTCACCCGCCCACAAAAACAAGGCCAATAATAAAACCAAGCAATAAAACATGCCAAATCACAATTATTGACCACCCTAGTAGCTGTCAGTGAACGACACCCGCCCACATACTGTGACGGCCCAAGTTTTATAAA